ATTGACTAGCTTGGGTACCCGGCGCTGCCTGGGTTATTTTAAAAGGGTATTGGTTTTTTTTGGATGTTAGGTAATATCATTTTGGTAATATATTATGCTGTGTCTTAGAAAAAAAACTCCGTCTTTGTTTTTTGTTTTTTTTTTATGAATGCTCCCATTTTGTTTTTTTAATGAAAACTCCATCATGTTGCTTAGGTACCCGATGTTGCTCAAGTTAATTTGGTAAGGATAAATATTAGAAATAGTCCTTGTTAGATTTTGGATTTTAAGAATAGACCTATTAGAAAATGCATAACTGTATAAATAGAGCCATTTATAAATTTGGACAACTTATGTGATGCAACTTCTATCAGTGCAAGACCAACTTACTTATCTACTTACCAAGTAATGCATTTTCTAATGGTATGTATAATATTTTTTTCCAATTTACAGCTGTAGAAATTAGTCAATGAGAGAGGTGAAAAAAACCATTTTATTGTTTAGACTTTCTTTTTATATTATTATTATTATTATTATTATTATTATTATTATTATTATTATAAATCTTTATTTATATCCTGCTTTGCTCCCTCACGGGACCCAAAACAGCGTACAACATATTTAAATACTGTAAACAACAATTCAAATACATCAATAGTAAGTATAAAACATCATAAAATAAACAGTTTAAATATAACAATAATAAACATTCATATTCTTGTGGCATCATGGCAGCTCATATTGCAATTTGTTCCAGTCCGTTAGGTCAAAGCCAGTACCTTGAATTGGTCTTGGAAACGAATTGGCAGCCAGTGCAGGTGCTGTACCAGGAGGGGTAGACCACTCTCTGGTTCCAGCACCTGGAGGCAGCTCTTTGGGCTAATTGACGTTTCCAGACACTTTTCAGGGGCAGGCCATTACAGTAAGCTAAGTGGGATGTAACCATGGCCAAGTCTGGCATTTCAAGGTACAGGCGCAGTTGTTGCTCAAGTAATATTGTAATTTATTGTTGTTATTGAAAACTTCAGGAATAATAAAAATACGTTTTGAAAAATGTCAACATGGCAGAATAATGAGTTCATTGTAAAACCTGTTTATAAACAACATTTTTTGTTTTTCCACCTGGAGTATAAACAAACAAATTATTTGGAGAACCTACCCTTGAACATGCAACATATAACTGTCCATGGGAAAAACATGGTGACTTCAAGTTAATACCACAGTATTTTATTGACTGTCCCTGTGCCTTGTTGATGGTTATCCCAAATGCCAGCCTTACTGGGAATTGCAATCTCTTAAAACGAAATGGCAGATCTGATGGAATAAGTGGAATGCGAGGAATGAATACATTATCACCCTTCCCAGTCAATATTGTAGCTTCTATGACGTTGGGCAGTAGTGTTTTGATGCACAGTCTTGTGCCATTACATAACCTTGGTGGTGATATCGAGCTCTTTTGTGGGGGTCCCCCAGCGAGAGAGATCCCTTAGGACTCCCCAAAAGGGTCCTCGAACCTCGGTGAGGCCAGCGAAGCCAATCCAAAGAAAGCGAAAATATTTTAAAAATCAATCTCACCGGAGGCGGAAGAGGTTCAGTGACCGAGGCGTTTATTCTGCGATTCAGCTGAAAAGGATGCGATTGTAGTGATGATTCACATACAAGCATGATTTTACAGAATTTTCCAAGCATTTTATAGGGTTCAGACAAAGGGAAACAGTTTCAAAAATCCCGCCCGCCCTCTGCCGGCCGGCTTCGCTCTGATTGGCTGGCCGCGGAACAGCTGGGAGGAGGCTTGGCGGCACGCCTCGCCTCCTGTCCAATCAGCGGGCTCCGCCGCCTCTAGGAGGCCAATCAGCGCCTTCCTAGCGCCTCTGAAGATGGACCAATCGGCAGCTAGGAGGCGGGACGAAGCCTGACAATGGCCGGGGAAATGACAGCCTTAAGGGCATCCGCCAGCTGGAATGTGAGGCTTTGTCCTCACATGGCGGGGTGTCAGATAGGGGAACGATAAGCTTCCTGGTTTGTGATGGGATTTGGGAGGAAGTATGAAAAGGGCTTTTTGCGATATCGGACCTCAAAGGGGGATCAACAATATCTAAATGATTTAATCAGTCTTTTCTTCCTGAGTTTCTGTTGACCCCCCCTCCCTCGCTGTCTGCTCTGAAAGCCAGGGTCGGGGGAAGACAACAGCACGGCCCATGCAAATGTAATTAAGAATAGTTTCGGGAGGACAAAGGAGTTCCTCCTCATGACAGTAATCCCCAGGTCACATCTTTTTGGGGCAAGGGTCAAAGGGAAAGGCGGGAAGGGGGATCAGAGTACATTCCATATGATATTTCATTATATACATTCCATACATTTCATATATCTCATAAGCAAATCCCATCCCCATCCCCAGCAAAGTTTATTAAAAATAGTTGATTTATTTTATTATACGAAGAAATTCATAGTTTCTTGATGAAGGCGTGCGGAAGCTGAGGCTGCTTGTCCTTCAAGGCAAGCCTGGTCTGAAAGTTCGTGTCCAAAGAGGCAGCAGGAAAACAGTCCGAGACGTGGGGCAGAAAGTCAATAGGAGAGGGCAAAAGAGTCCGAAGAGGATTTCCGGGTTGCAATGATGGGGCAATGTCCTTTGGAAAACTATGTCTCCTGGGTCGGAGACCGGGACCTGCGCCTGGCTGCCTTCCCGGGGTCTCCTGTGGGTGGCCGCAGTGGGTCCCCAGTTGCTGGATCCAGGCAGGAGTGAGCACCGCTGAGAAGGAACGAGCTGTCTAGGAAGAACCCGGCCAAATTGGCAAAACAGCTGATTTCTGTCAAAGTAAAATACTTGGAACAAAACAATTTATTCCCGGGTGTAGGAGCCCAAAATGAGAAAAAGAAGACAGCTGTTAGGCTTGGAATTAGTAGTAGAAAAATACAAAATTGAAACGGCGGCGATCCGCCATTTTGTGTTTTTTCTCGGATGAGGGGGTCTGAAATGGCGGTTTCCGTATCCGCGGTTTGAACGGACGCAGATTCGGGGTCCCGGGAGCGCCCGGAGGCGCCTCCCACGGGCTCACGGCTCTCCGGAGCCTGGAAAAAGGTTTATTGCAATGTTATTTTTGGTTTGAGCCAAGGAAGGATACAAAAGCATCAAGCGGAGAGGTAAAAAGTTGCAAGTTTCAAGTACCTTTATTAGGGAAATGATACAAAGTAGGGAGAAGGGGAAAGCAAGGAAAAGCTGCAGGCATTCCTGGTTTTGAGGTGGCTGCTGGGGCACATTTCATCTGTTGGTCCCCAAAACTTGATCCAGGAACTGCGGAACTCTCCACTGCGGTTCACACCAATGTGAAGGCAGGACTCCCTGCCGCGCTCGGGCTCAGTGGTTCGAGGTTTCGAAGCAGCATAATGGGGGATCCCACTTTAAGTGGCAAGCGATGAGATGGCATCCCAGGTGGATCAAGGGAATTGAGGAACTCAGTCGGATAATTTACAGCTTCATCAGCATCCACTACAGTATCAATGGATTTATATTCTGTTACAGAGCCTGGAATCATGTCCTGAACATGCTTGTTGATTTCATTGACTGCATCATTCTTAGCAGCCAGGATGGCTCTTTCACACAACCAGGTGTGTTGTTTGAAATTTTCTGAAATGTTTGGATACACTTTATCTATAAGTTCACCAACTGATGTCACAATGGTACAGAAGTCATTTGGAAAGTGGATTTCGCCTAATGTCAAGTCAGTGGGGAAAGTACCTTCACCAATTTGAAGGAGCTTCTCTGCAAAAGGTTGAGCATTTGGATCTCCTTGAAGTTGGACCCTCAGATTTGTTTGTAATGTCATTTTTTTCACATGTCTCCAAAGAACGGAAGCCCTTCAGGCAAGCATTAAGCTCACCTGCTGGTGTTGACTTTGGAATGACGGGAATTTTAATGCTGCGTGTGCTGTTCGTCCTCCATCCATCAGTGTCGATGCAATCCCAGAAGAATCATAGAATCAAAGAGTTGGAAGAGACCTCCTGGGCCATCATCCAGTCCAACCCCATTCTGTCAAGAAGCAGGAATATTGCATTCAAATCACCCCTGACAAATGGCCATCCAGCCTCTGCTTAAAAGCTTCCAAAGAAGGAGCCTCTACCACACTCCGGGGCAGAGAGTTCCACTGCTGAACGGCTCTCACAGTCAGGAAGTTCTTCCTAATGTTCAGATGGAATCTCCTCTCTTGTAGTTGGAAGCCATTGTTCCGCGTCCTAGTCTCCAAGGAAGCAGAAAACAAGCTTGCTCCCTCCTCCCTGTGGCTTCCTCTCACATATTTATACATGGCTATCATATCTCCTCTCAGCCTTCTCTTCTTCAGGCTAAACATGCCCAGTTCCCTAAGCCGCTCCTCATAGGGCTTGTTCTCCAGACCCTTGATCATTTTAGTCGCCCTCCTCTGGACACATTCCAGCTTGTCAATATCTCTCTTGAATTGTGGTGCCCAGAATTGGACACAATATTCCATATGTGGTCTAACCAAAGCAGAATAGAGGGGTAGCATTACTTCCTTAGATCTAGACACTATGCTCCTATTGATGCAGGCCAAAATCCCATTGGCTTTTTTTGCCGCCACATCACATTCCTGGCTCATGTTTAACTTGTTGTCCACGAGGACTCCAAGATCTTTTTCACACGTACTGCTCTCGAGCCAGGCGTCACCCATTCTGTATCTTTGCATTTCATTTTTTCTGCCAAAGTGGAGTATCTTGCATTTGTCACTGTTTAACTTCATTTTGTTAGAAGCCAGTGCAAGTGCCACATCACTACTTGCACGAATTTCAGCAAGTAGTAAATTAATTACAAATGTTTTTCCTGTTCCTCCAGGTGCATCAAGGAAAAGTATACCACCTTTCTGCCTTCTGATGTTATCCATTATAGTGTCATATACTTTTCTTTGATCATGATTTAATAGAGGTTTTCTTGATTGTACAAATATTAACAGTTCTTCGGTATTATAATTCTTTTCTCTCATAAGTTTATTGTTGAAGACATCATAGTTATTTCATTCTGGAGGCTGTACACCTAACTGTTGTAATGTTCTGTTACTGATGGCCAGACATCTGTTTTCTAATAGTATAAGTGTCTCATTAAAAATTTCTCTAGAAAATTTTAAGTCAATGGTGGGATTGTCTCTTTGAAGTTTTGCAAGGATGTCTTCACTCATGCTTTCTTGGTGTTTTTCCCATAATCCACTAGGGTTTGATGGATAGCAAGTTGTCAGGATGATGGCAAAAAGGTTTCTTATTTGAGCTGGTGAAGATTGCAATGCTGCTTCTGATAAAGTAAAATTCCAGTGTTGATCATCCTCTAATAATCCAAGCTTTTGGCATGCCTCTCTAAAAGTATTACATACCTCTCCATTGACAGTTTTTAAAAATGTGAAAGACGTTGGTCCTCGAACAGTGTGAAGTAGTATTCTTAGAAAAAAGCGCTCAGCATTGTTAGGATGAACGGTGTACACACGACCCAAGGCTTCTGTGGCAACTGCATCCTGCCCTGAAACTGATACTCCTTGTTTTCTTTTGGAGAAGACCTTTCTGGATGCATTCCAAGTATAATATTTTGGAACTTCGGGATATAGCAGTGTCCTTGCAAACAAATCCTGTTCACACAGCTGAACGAATGCTGTCAAGGTTGTATTTGGTGGTTCAGCAGCAACTGTTTCAGCATTATCTGTTGTAAAGTAGACTCTTTGACCATTTTCTAAATGCACACTAAGGTGAACAACAGTTGGATGGCGTTCATGGATCGGAAAACTGAAAATCCGCCAAATTGCTTCGTTACTGCTGATATATCTTCCCAGCTGGTATTGAGATACTTCGTCGTTTCTGTTTTCATTAGTGAGTCCGAAAATAGCCATGTCACTTCCCTTGTTCACATATTTACAGATGTACTTAATGGATTTTATTGAGTTACAATATTCAACATTAATGTGTGCTTGAAACATTTTAGAAAGGAGTGGAGAATATGGAACAACCCATCTGTTGTCCACTTCTACTTCTGTGTTGCCTCTAATCTTGAGTTTTGCCGTGAAGCCACCATCTGATGGTGCTCGTCTTCTATAGAGAGGATAACCGTCATGTCCAGTTTGTGTGTCTGTAACCAATTGTCTGGGATATTTCTTACTGCACTTGCCTTCCTTCATACATGGTGCATTCATATTAAGGTTTCCACATGGTCCGTGAATCATATTTTTGGTCACCACTGTATAGAGGCTAGAGTCTTCAAATGGACTTGGGAATTCAGCAGATATAACATTGTCTATTTCAGTTGGGTGAACTTTTTCTTTCAGCCAAATAAGATTATGGGAATGTGGAAGTCCTCTTTTCTGCCATTCAATTGAGTAGAGCCAGCATCGTGTTTCTCCAAATACATGACAATTATTTATTACATGGATTAACTTCATTTGTTTTTGTTTGAACACTCTTGCTATTAAATCATGACGATCGCTGGGTGTCTGTCCGAATAAAAGTTCTTCTTCTATCTCTGGCCAAGATGGATTACACGTGAAAGTAATAAATAAGTCAGGGCGTCCATAAGATCTCACGTATGTCATGCCATCTTGAGCGTATTCATGCATGTGTCTTGGGCTTCTGTGAATGTAGCGGGTAGAATTACCATTTTCCCAACGTTATCAACACTTCTATCATTGGAGACAGCATCCCTTAGGTGGATGTATTCATCCACTCGAAGTTTCTTTTGATTTTGTCGTATGAAGAGAAGACGCTCAGTTTCAGTTTTTGCATACATATCAACAATGAATTGATGAAATAGCTGCCAACAATTTAAAGTATGATTAGAAACATGATTTCTAATCATTATGCTGTATGCATAGTAGTCCATTGCGGAGACTTTTTTATTAGTTGGTGCGCCTGAAGTTGGGTTGATTTGCATGATGTTGAAGTGATGCCCATCTTCACCTTGCCAAAATATCAGTGGGTACTGAAGTGCATCATACCATCGATGTGTTTCTGCTATGCGCTGTAGTGAATTACTGCGTCTTTGGATAATGATGTCACGTTGCTCAAATTCCTCACCTGACATAACAATTGCAACTTCGTTTGTTTGAGGAGCATTGAAGCGACGTTCATGTTCTCCCACTGGCTTTTTATCAGCTCTAATCACTACTCTGTATTCATCTGTTGGCATGCGTTCTAGGGCTGTTTTGAATGTGTTAATTATTTGGTTGTGTTGGTGTAACATGTGCTGTAAGTTCAACACAATATCATGTCTCACATCATTCAAGAGATGGAGGAGAAGCAATAGCAGCCGGCAAGTGAACTCCTCCAGGATATCAGAAGCTTCTTACAGGGATATAAGAATAAGGAGAAATTCAAGACTTTTGCAGCCTTTCTTCCTGCCCTGAAGTGGAAGATCTGGGACTTCTGTGATATCACTCCCTTTCTGGAGGGTACCATGAAGCAATTTAGAGAACATGTGACTCTGGATCCAGATACAGCTTCTCCTTGTCTCATCCTCTCTGAAGATCACAGGCATACGATGTTTGGAGAGAAATATCAAGATCTTCCTGACAATCCTGAGAGTTTCAATCATAATGCTTTAGTGCTGGGCCAGGAGGGATTCGCGGAAGGCAGGCACTTTTGGGATGTCCTTGTGGGGAGTGAGGAAGGATGGTTTGTGGGAATTGCCAGAAAGTCGGTGCAGAGAAAGGACCCACACTTTGGCCCTGAGGCTGGGACTTGGGAAGTGGGAAAGTGGGTGGGTGCATACAGGTTCTCCTCCGACAACGATGTGTGCCCATCTCTGAGCCCAAGAGGGTCTGAGTGTCTCTGAACTATGAAGGGGGTCGGGTGGCCTTTTACGATGCAGACTCAGCAGCCCTGATCTTTGAATACCCTCCAGACTCTTTCTCAGGAGAGACCCTCCTCCCCTTGTTTTTTGTGAACAAAAAAGCCCAACTGGAGCTCTCTCCCTAAAGATGGACAACAACGTCCAAAGACTCACACCAGCCGAGACACAAAAGGAGCTTTATGTCCAGAGATCTGGAACTGTGTTAATTCTTTTTTTCTCCCTTTTTCGAAGCCTCTCTGTGATCCCTTTACATAGTTGTGAAAATTTGTGAGGCTAGAGTGTAAATGAAGAACCCATTGCTCATGGCAGTGCTCAGCTCATGGATCAGCCGGGGACTTCTTCCTCCCATTTGGAAAGCCCAGCTACAAGAAAAACAATGAAGAAGGAATAATTTATTTAATATTAACTTTACTTCTATACCGCTGTTCTCAGCCCGGGGGCGACTCACAGCGGTGTACAACATAGGAACAGCAAAATTCAAGACACAGTATCAAAACAATTCACAATCCAGCATTATAAAAAAAACATAATCATTACTACGAAAACCATTCAGCGTTGTCTCATCGTCCAAACCACAATCCAATATCATTTCCCGTTGTTCCATTCCTATAGTCATTACTAAACATTGCACTGCTTATTCAAATGCCTTCTTGAACAACCAAGTCTTTAATTTCCTGCGGAATATAATCAGGGAAGGAGCCAGTCTAATGTCCACGGGAAGGGTGTTCCACAGCCGAGGAGCCACCACCGAGAAGGCCCTATCTCTCGTCCCCACCAGCCGTGCTTGTGAAGCAGGTGGGATCGAGAGCAGGGCCTCCCTGGAAGATCTCAAAGTCCTGGTGGGCTCATAGGTTGAGGTGCGGTCGGATAGGTATCTTGGGCCAGAACCATTTAGGGCTTTATAGGCCAACGTCAGCACCTTGAATTGAGCCCGGTAGCAAATCGGCAGCCAGTGGAGCTGGTACAACAAGGGGGTTGTATGCTCCCTGCGTTCCGCTCCTGTTAGTATCATGGCTGCCGCGCGTTGGACCAATTGAAGCTTCCGGGCCGTCTTCAAGGGCAACCCCACGTAGAGAGCGTTGCAGTAGTCTAAGTGGGATGTAACCAGAGCGTGGACTACCGTGGCCAAGTCAGACTTCCCAAGGTACGGGCGCAGCTGGCGCACAAGCTTTAGCTGTGCAAAAGCTCCCCTGACCACCGCCGAAACCTGGGGCTCCAGGCTCAGCGATGAATCCAGGATCACACCCAAGCTGCGAACCTGCGTCTTCAGGGGGAGTGCGACCCCATCCAACACAGGCTGTAACCCTATGCCCTGTTCAGCCTTGCGACTGACCAGGAGTACCTCTGTCTTGTCTGGATTCAATTTCAATTTGTTCGCCCTCATCCAGACCGTTACAGCGGCCAGGCACCGGCTCAGGACCTCGACAGCCTCCTTAGTAGCAGGAGGCAAAAGGTCCGTAAGACCAAAAGTAAACCAGTTATATAATTGCAATAATGTATATTATATGTTTGCTTAGGACATTCAATGTATTGGCATCTAGTACAATATATATTACATAACAATTCTTGCAGCATATTGTACAGCTGTTTTGGAAGTTCTTTTGAGAATCAAATTTATCAATAACAACATAAAGTTTGTAAGTCTTTGAATAAATAACTCTTAAAAGGCAAAACAAAAGTAAAATATTACAAAGACGAAGTTGGTTGGTTGAACTTAGTTACACTGGAGAGAAGATGGTGCGGATGACATGGAAACTGAAACAGCATCTAAAATGGAACGGACCATAGCTCTGATTCAAGGCGTGACAACTGTAGTCACCACTTCCATACCTATAGTCGATGAAAATATAAATTACCAATCCCTTTTGGAATGTGCTTTGATATTAAACGGCATTATTTCTGCTTTACCCGACACTGAAAAATCGTTGTTGAGCGCCCTCCAGGACCTGTGTGAACAGTGGTGGACAAAGGGACTGAATGGGAAGGAACAATTTGGGAAAACCACTTTCGTCCACTTTTTGAAATGCAGCCTTGAGAAGAAAACAGTTGCGGGAGCAGATATAGTCCGCCTATGGCACTTTCATCGGGCCTTACTGTGTTTCGATTACGATTCAGAGGAGAGTAACGAAGTGAAGGATTTGTTACTTCGATGCTTTATGAGTGTTTGGCATATGAAAAAGAAGAGGGCAGAAGATTCCTGAGCTTTGTTTTCACGTGGAATGTAAACTTCATTAAGTTGATACACGGGACTGTGAAAAACCAATTGCAGTGTTCTCCTAGGTCTTTGGTGACGCATATTGCGGAAATTTATTTCCGAGCATGGAAGTAAGCTTTAGGGGAGATATTGCAGTCAAATGCTCTGCCACTGACCTATACCCCCAGCTTCAGGGGAGATATTGGGGGTGATTGAACACATCTGCATCCAGGATTCCATGCATCATGCAATTCATATTCCCAGGAATTCACCATTGCATCCCAAAGTACGAGAGTTCCTGGGCTATTTCCACAAACAAACCAAATCCCGCCAAGGAGTTGAAGAAGTCCTTTACCGGCTTTACCAGCCTATTCTTTGGAGATCGCTAAAGGCCAGGAACTCAGGAGTTAGATCAAATGCGGCATTGCTATTTGTTGATGCATTTCCTATTTTAGATCCTGGTTTCAACAGAGAAGATACTGATAATGAAATCCAAAGGCAATTTGATGAACTTTTTAGTCTCTTGGAGGATCCTCAGCCTCTGGTTCGCTCAACAGGGGTGCTTGGCGTTCGTAAAATAGCATTCCGATCCACCCAGATCCTATAAAATTAAAACTAAGGTGTGCTTCTCTCTTTGTCTGGGCGGACCGCCGGGGGGGGGGGGGGGGGGGGGGGGGGGGGGGGGGTCTTTCTTTAGAAGCTCAAAAATTCTCAGCAACTGAGGCCACTTCAGATTTGGAACATCAAAACAGAATATTTATTTCTCAGTCCTTGCAGACTTGGCACAGCTTGTCAAAGTTACAAATAAAACAGTCAATTGGTGAAGCCATAGAGATGATCTTTCTTTCTTTTTCCTTCAGTTACTGAGGTAACTCTTTCCCAAATGGTAGAAAATATCCTGGGATCCTTTCACCCTAACCCTGAGCTGCTATGGTTAGATTTTTCTATCTATAGCTCAAGGTTAGCTTTGGAGATGAAGTAATGCTCAATAATATTCAATAACTCGATATCTATTTATAACTCAATTGCTCACTTGCTATCTATCTATTTCAATTAGCTTATTTTATCTATATAACTCAATCATATCTTAATTGCCATTCTATCTATCTCAATTAGCTTCTTTATCTATATAACTCAATCATACTTACAATGATTTTTTCAGAGCTGCCTGCCTGACCAACAGCACATCTGAAGCTTTCTTTCTCTACACTGAAGGAGGCAGGGAAGATTCCAAAATGGAGACCTCAAGAACCCTAGGAAAAAGGGCGGTCCCTAAACCCGAAGAGATACTTTCCTAAACCAATAGCTGCAAATGGGCCTGCAAGGCCGGCTTTGCAGACTCTGATACTGTTGAACTTCCAGGGTGCTGCTGGGTCTGTAGCAAAAGAACACTATCCCATGCAACTAAAAGGTAATGCAAACTGTGCTCCTGGAAGACGGAACACTGATATTGCTTTACCAGCCAATTTAGGGGGATGAAGGTTTATTTCTCAGAGTGAGTTCACTAGGGAGTTAATACAGATATTAAAGTGGGAGCAAGAACACAACTTTTGCTTTACTCCTCCCCCCCCCCCATGAATTTCAGAGCAATAGCAAGCAGAAATGCTCTGGCCG